ATTGACGCAAGGAAGGCTGAAAAATTTACCATAATGTCTTCCGAATGAGAGTGTGATTGAACCCTCCTCAATGAGATCACGGCCACCAACAGAAATATTGAAGTTCTCCATGTGAATGTCCTTGACAGCGGGTCCACCACTGTTATCATGCCTAACACATACAACGGGCATCCCTTCTCGTGCTGCTTCCATTTCTGCTAGATGCATTTGGTACTGTGCCTGTGTAAGTAAACGACATTATAAACAACAGCAGAATTAGCCAACAATAGAGGTAATCTATAGCATCAGTTTATAAAGTGATCCAGTTCAATTTCAGTCAAAATCTGCTTCTCTAATTGTCTATGATTATACCAAAAAATGCCAAACAATGCTAATAGGCCAGGTTCTAATTTAAAAGTTTACCTCCCTTTGGCGTTCCTCCTTCCTCTTTCTTCTTTCTAGCTTCACACGGTCACGTTCAGTTAGCAAAGGACCATCAGTAGGCTCACGCTTCTTCTTAGGAGCTACCCCATCATCCATTCCGTCATTCATTCTGAAGGGTGCTGCAAGGCTTCGCACGGTTGGTTTGGCTTTGACCAACCCATGCTTTCCAAATTTTTCAGACATTTTGCTACATACCTAGAGCAATTCAGCAATTTGTAGGGGAACTAAGAAACCGGAAGACGGCCAGGTAAAAGAAGTAATAAGGCTAGCGCAACCCAGCTTCAAAGATAAAGCAGAGAGGCCAAAACGCTTTAAATTTCTCAATAATAGCCCATTAGCTCACCGCCCCGGCTCGAAGTTTTCAAGATAATATATCATGCTACAATTTATAAGCAACTAAATGGAGTGTATGTGAGTGCAGAAATTACAGTGCGACACTCAGAGAAGTCGTCGACACAGCCGGCACCCACAAGTAGCTCCCCAAGAAAATCGAAGACGCCTTCTCCATCATCTCCAAAATCAAAGTCATCATCTGCGAGGACGTTGATAATGTAATCAACAATCGGCTGATCCACATCCTGAACCCGTCGTCCCAGCACCTCGTGCACCACTGAGCTCGCTACTTCTGTCATCTTCTTAGGCGGTTCGAGATGTCCCGCTACCACGCCCACAGCGCCAACGGTTTCGGAGGCAATGCGCGGGTACGACTATGAGCCACCCTCTCCCGGTGTGGGGGATTTTCTTTTTTTTGGGTAAAGTTCTCTCCCATGTTTTGGGCTTCTCTAACGATAGTGCATGATGGGCCTTTAGGCCTATTCAGTTTAAGATGAAGTTAGTTTGGTTTGGTTTAACCAACGGGAGTTAGGTCTAGCGGAAGGGACTAGTCCCTCACAACGTGACGAATCAAGGTTTGAATCTCCGCTGAGAGAAGTGCTCATATTTAGTGACCGACAATAACTCGAATAGTATTGCTTCTAATAAGAGGATACGTATGTTTTCGCAAAAAAAGTTTGATTTGGTTTTGGAGTTGGTTTGATTGGTTTGGGTGATGTTAAACTAGAATAATTTTTTAATTTTTATAGAAGAAATGTGGTAATTTTTAATGAACTTTATTTGAATTCATGTTCACTTTCTAGAATAAAAATTAAAATTAATAAAATTTCAAATTTATATCGTTCATTTGATTGAATGAAAAATTACAACAATATTAACTATTTCCACGGAAATTAGGTGTGAATTCAAATTTGTCGCCCAAACAGTTACATCGAAATTTCAATGCATTTCTCTTTCTGATAAGAGATGAGAAGAGAGAAGTAAGAAACGGTGCCAAGAAATGCATTGAGTCTTTCCTTATAATAAATATAATTCCCACAATTTCATATGTACCTTGCAAGAGTTTTTTTATTAGTGATATTTTTTTTTTGATGAGTTTAGTGATATTAATTTCACGCATTCTTGTATATCTTGCAAGAGTTTTTTTTATATATATTTGAGAATGATTAAAAGCTTTTTTAATTAAAAATGGGTGTAAACCAGTTTGCACGAGGAGACTACGACCTTCTCCATACCCAAAATATTTTTACCACCACAGCAATGCGTGAATCATACGATGATTTGAATCTTGACTACTGTTTATATTCTAAATTGTATGTATCCTCCATTTTAATACGCTTTAGGCCCACTAAAAAATTTTCCCAAAATTATTGAAATTTTTTTACTTTAAAAATTATGGGGACATCTTAAAATTATCTTCATTAAACCGTATCTTCGTGTTGATTATGTTTATCTTTAATCCCTCACCTCCATTCCCTTAATTCTATATGAAAAAATTTGGAGAAAATTCATCTAATGCAAAATATTAGATAATTTTAATATTAAAATGCATAAATATATCATAAAGTTCCGAGTAAGTAGATAATAAATTACTTTTATAATGACAAACAAATATAAAACAGTTTTTAATTTTATAAAATTGTAAGCAAGAAATTACCCTTCATGCAATTTTTAGATGGGGGAATTTCACTGTAGGACCGCAGAAGGCAAATAATTTTAAAGAACCCCCAAAACTTTCTGAAACCTCACTACAGGACCAAGGGACCAATCTGATATTAATTTTTAGAGTGAGATTACAATAATACCCCTCCCTTTTTATTTTATTAAAAAATAAATATTTACCGGAGTTACTGTTCCGGCCACCGGAGGTCGGAGGTCCGGCCACCGACGCTCAGGTGGCCGCCGTCGGGGTCCGGTCACCGGTGGCCGGAACAGTAACTCCGGCGGGACCTCCGGTGGCCGGAGTTTTTTTGTTTAAAACAAAGTGGCCAAGGGAGGGTTTGAACCCAGGACCCCTTGGCACACCAAAAGAGTTGTAACCACCAAGCCAAGCAACCCATTCAATCATAAAATGCAAATAAAACTACATATAACAAAATAAACGCAACAGTCCAAATGTAAGTGAACAAGTGAAATTAGACGATTTACAAGTGGAATTCAGAAATTTGCAACAAAAGTTAGGCAATTTACAAATAACATAATAGAAGTCATAACCCAAAATGCAAGTGTTTAGGTGCAAATGAGCAAGTAAAATTTGAAGATTTACAATAAAAGTTTATGAATTTACAACCCAAATTTGGCAAACACAAGAGAATTCACAACCTAAAATGTAAGTGTTTGAATGTAAGTGAACAAGTGAAATTAGACGATTTACAAATGTAATTCAGCAATTTACAACAAAAATTAGACAATTTACAAATAACATAATAGAAGTCATAACCCCAAATGCAAGTGTTTAAGTGCAAATGAGCAAGTGAAATTTGAAGATTTACAATAAAAGTTTATGGATTTACAACCCAAATTTGGCAAACACAAGAGAATTCACAACCCAAAATGTAAGTGTTTGAATGTAAGTGAACAAGTGAAATTAGACGATTTATAAGTGTAATTCAGCAATTTACAACAAAAATTAGACAATTTACAAATAACATAATAGAAGTCATACCCTCAAATGCAAGTGTTTAAGTGCAAATGAGCAAGTGAAATTTGAAGATTTACAATAAAATTTTATGAATTTACAACCCAAATTTGGTAAACACAAGAGAATTCACAATCCAAAATGTAAGTGTTTGAGTGTAAGTGAACAAGTGAAATTAGACGATTTACAAGTGGAATTCAGAAATTTGCAACAAAAGTTAGGCAATTTACAAATAACATAATAGAAGTCATAACCAAAAATGCAAGTGTTTAGGTGCAAATGAGCAAGTAAAATTTGAAGATTTACAATAAAAGTTTATGGATTTACAACCCAAATTTGGTAAACACAAGAGAATTCACAACCCAAAATGCAAGTGTTTGAGTGTAAGTGAACAAGTGAAATTAGACGATTTACAAGTGGAATTTAAAAATTTACAACAAAAATTAGACAATTTACAAATAACATAATAGAAGTCATAACCCCAAATGCAAGTGTTTAAGTGTAAATGAGCAAGTGAAATTGTCGAATTTCACTTGCAAATCTATAAACTTTTGTTGTAAATCTTCAAATTTTATTTGCTCATTTACACTTAAACGCTTGTATTTGAGATTATGAGTTCCATTATGTTATTTGTAAATTGCCTAATTTTTGTTGTAAATTGCTGAATTCCACTTATAAATCGTCTAATTTCACTTGTTCACTTACACTCAAACACTTGCATTTTGGGTTGTGAATTCTCTTGTGTTTACCAAATTTGGGTTGTAAATCCATAAACTTTTATTGTAAATCTTCAAATTTTACTTGCTCATTTGCACCTAAACACTTGCATTTTTGGTTATGACTTCTATTATGTTATTTGTAAATTGCCTAACTTTTGTTGCAAATTTCTGAATTCCACTTGTAAATCGTCTAATTTCACTTATTCACTTACATTTGGACTGTTGCGTTTATTTTGTTATATGTAGTTTTATTTGCATTTTATAATTGAATGAGTTGCTTGGCTTGGTGGTTACAACTCTTTTGGTGTGCCAAGGGGTCCTGGATTCAAACCATCCTTTGGCCACTTTGTTTTAAACAAAAAAACTCCGGCCACCGGAGGTCCCGCCGGAGTTACTGTTTCGGCCACCGGTGACCGGACCCCGACGACAGCCACCTGAGCGCCGGTGGCCGAGCCTCCGACCTCCGGTGGCCGGAACAGTAACTCCGGTAAATATTTATTTTTTAATAAAATAAAAAGGGAGGGGTATTATTGTAATCTCACTCTAAAAATTAATATCAGATTGGTCCCTTGGTCCTACAGTGAGGTTTCAGAAAGTTTTGGGGGCTCTTTGATATTAATTGTCTTCTGCGGTCCTACAGTGAAATTTTCCCTTTTTAGATTATGTACAAATCATTTTTTAATCTAAAAGACTAAAAGTCATTTATCTTTTGGAAAAAATCAGCCCTCCTTCACCAAAAAAAAAAAAAAACCAGCGAAGAGACCTATACGCTTAATCCGTTATTGACACGGGCACACGACCGAGATCCGGTCATGGACACGTGTCAAGTGTATGATCACCAGTGTCAAAGTCCAAGGGCGCGCGTGTGGAACGACATGAATCAAAACCCGTCCAAGGGTCCAGGAGCTCCAAAAGGCTTTGGTTCCATTAGAACTTCGTGGGATGAAAGCAAAGGAGAAAGAAAACGATATATAAGGAATCCAAACTAATCCTTTACATCGCAATATTCATCCGTCTCGCGTGCTCCAATTCTTTTGAGAAAACCATATCTTTCACCATTTCAGATATCTCGTTTCCATCGAGGATGAGGCTGTTGAAGGTGGCAACTTGCAATCTCAATCAATGGGCTATGGACTTCGACTGTAACACTAAGCACATTAAAGAGTCCATAGCCAAGGCTAAAGAAGCCGGCGCTGTCATTAGGCTCGGACCTGAGCTGGAGGTTACTGGTTATGGCTGTGAAGATCATTTCTTGGAGCTCGACACTGTCACCCATGCGTAAGTGATTCCTTTACTGAAATTTGCTCCGAAATTATTGAAATTTTGAGGTCACTGCGTATTTTCTTCCGTTATTACAGTATAAGTACTGCTTATTGGGTCTGAACTGCAATGGCTGAAATTCCACCCACTCTTACCCTTAATCCTCAAGGATTATGCAAGAAAATCTCAAACTTTTGTCCCACGGAAAGCTTTTACGTCTGTCTTTATTAATGCCGGGAGTGAATTTGATTTGGTTGCAGATGGGAATGCTTAAAAGACATCTTGCTCGGTGATTGGACAGATGACATATTTTGTAGCATTGGTATGCCGATCATCAAAGGGTCGGAGCGGTACAATTGTCAGGTTTTATGTTTGAATCGAAAGATTATTATGATACGACCAAAGATGTCCCTCGCAAATGATGGCAACTATAGAGAGCTTAGATGGTTTACGGCATGGAAGCGAAGAGATCAACTTGAGGAATTTCAGCTTCCCAACGAAATTGCTGAGGCATTGGGTCAAGAGTCAGTTCCTTTTGGCTACGGATTCATTCAGTTTCAAGACACGTAAGTTTTAGCAAGTCACAAGCTCTATTTCCATTAGTTTAGTTACATATATTTCTGTCAAAAATTTTGAACAACTCCTGTTTTCTCTCGTTCTCCTCCTCCATTGTTTTTATATGTTTTAAAAAGATACGCAGTTGTCGGAGCTAGTGAAATCATGCTTGTCGTTTTTATGTAAAGGCCAATCGGCAGCTAATGTGGAAGTATTGAGTGATTGATAAATGAGTATTAAATGGGGTTTGAGATGCACCTTACCAACTCTGGTTGGACTCTAATCAATATGAAAAATAAAACTAATGGCAAAATATAGTCAAGAATAGTGCAACTCATTATTCTCTGTAATGCACGAGACCTGTATTTGGTTTGCTTTGATCCTCATAAGAATTTTGTCTCTGTATATTACTTTCTTTCACTTTTTTTGGCTTTTTAATCTGGCGTGTAAATCAACAAAGCAACCATGCAAGCTCCATACTTATCTACACTTTAATACACTTATAAGCTAATAAGCTTTTAGATCAATGTTGGGGCAGCAGATATCGATTATAGCATTCCTTCATGTTTTGGCTTCGTCCAACGTCTAGTCAAATGCTTACCAGTGCTACAATTTACTTCACAGGGCAATAGCAGCTGAAATTTGTGAGGAACTCTTTTCTCCAATTGCCCCTCATGCTGAGCTTGCATTAAATGGTGTTGAAGTATTTCTGAATGCAAGTGGAAGTCACCACCAACTCAGAAAGCTTGATGTCCGCCTCCGTGCTTTTATAGGTGCCACTCATACACGTGGAGGGGTTTACATGTATAGCAACCACCAAGGATGTGACGGTGGTCGCCTTTATTATGGTAGAAAATATTTCTCTTTTTCTGTGCTTCTGCCCTTGGTTTATTAGAGGGAAATACCTAAAACATTTTGTCGGTGTAAATACTTGCTTAACTTAGCAGTTGGTTTGTTGAATTCTTTGGGGAGTTGCACTCGTATACTGTCAGTTGCATAAAATTTAACTTTTCAAACGAAGAACTTGATGGTCAATCTGTATCTCTGATTTATTTGTAACAGATGGATGTGCTTGTGTTGTGGTGAATGGAGATGTTGTTGCTCAGGGTTCACAATTTTCTTTGAAGGACGTTGAGATTGTGGCTGCTCAAATAGATCTTGATGCGGTATATAATCATGAATTTATTCTATATGTTGTGTTTCCATGTACAAATGCACAGGTGGGCAATTTAGGTTTCCATTATGGACAGTAGATTTGATCGCTTAACTTGTTTGTTTATTGGTAGGTTGCCAGCCTTAGAGGGTCTATCAGTACCTTTCAAGAGCAAGCAAGTTGTAAAACCAGGGTTCCTTCAGTGGCAGTAGCATACAATCTTTGTCGGCCTTTCAACCTGAAAGTGACGCTTTCCATTCCACATAAGGTCTGTATCTTGTCAAAAGCAATAAATTTTTGATAGTTCAGAAGCGAGCTTTCCTGAAACTTATAAACTGTAGATGTCTTATATTCTGCTTTCATTCAATGAGTTAGTCAGTTATCTATTTTATTTAATGCCGAATCCGGCATCTCTTAGGAACATTGTAATTTAGGCAGTCAGCCTCTTAACTGTAATGGAATTTATGTTCAATAGATCAAGTATCACTCTCCAGAAGAGGAAATAGCATTTGGGCCTGGTTGCTGGTTATGGGACTACTTGAGAAGAAGTGGAGCGTCTGGTTTCCTGCTTCCTCTATCTGGTGGGGCAGATAGTTCCTCTGTTGCTGCTATTGTTGGTTGCATGTGCCAACTTGTAGTGAAAGGTTAGATCTAATGAAATGACAGCTGCAATCAAATTATGGCTTACCTTTCACCTTTCTGCTACCAATTAACTTGTGATTGTATAAGTTGCTGTATATTGCATATGTAATGTCATATGACTGCTTATATTGGTCTGAAGAAATGCTTCAAACAGTAGTCTCGCTTCAGGGCATGACCACTAATAGGTCATTTGCAATTAGCTGACGGTGCAATAGTTGTAGTAGTAGGCCTGCCTATTGTGATTTCCTATATTGGACTCCTTAAAAATTGCTTGAGCACAGAAGATAATAGGATGCCTTTTGTATTCCTGCTGAATATTCAGCTTCATGCAAGGAACTTAAATGTCATTTCATGGCCTATTATAATGTACGGCTTCTTTTTTAATAAGCACAGCAGAGGTGGAATATAAAACTAGTTTTCACTTTAAAATGTCAAATTATATTGTTGGAACGTTATTGGTAAGTGGTTCATATTTTTGTGCAGAAATTGCAAATGGGGATGAACAGGTTAAAGCTGATGCTATACGAATAGGAAATTATAAAGATGGGCAATTTCCTACTGACAGCAGAGAATTTGCTAAACGAGTATTCTATACTGTATTTATGGGATCTGAAAATAGGTAAGTGCATGTGCATAAATTTTATGTTTCGCACTCTGGCATCCTTTGAACAAATTACCATCCATTTTCTTCACTAAATATTCCATCAATATTTATATAAAGGCCAGTTACCCCCATTTATGGTTTTGGTATTATTTTCCTTTTGTTGGTTTTTTTTTCCTTTTCTTTTTTTCCATCATTCTCATTTAGTTTTTCATGAGGTTGAGTTTGAACGAACTGTTAAAAAGTGTTGATGCATATTTATAGAATTACAGAAGTTGAGCTACTATACTGCTGGGATCTTCTTTTCAATATTTGAAAACGTTTTTTTATTTTTTTATTTTGAAGGATGCTTAAAAGCATAAACTTTTTCAGTTTAAAGATCCTGAGTTGAAATTTGAGCATGTTATATGGCAATTCATTACTTGAAAGGAGAAACAATTTATGTTCTCACAGTGGAAAGGGATTTTTTCAGCACTTCTGAGGAGTAGTATATTCATACATATATACAACTTTGCAGCGAAAGGTAGAGTAAAAAGAAATCTAGCTGCAAATGCTAGGACTTGTTTCACATTAATTACATCATACGAGTTCCTTCTCTTCTCTATCATCTTGTTGTCAACAGAAGGCTGCCTTCTAATGATCTATTGAGTTCATTTGAGGAGTATTTCCCTCCCAATATGTGCTGCACTAAGAGATTTCCTCCTTACAGTTCTGACGCCACCAGATTGCGGGCAAAGATGCTGGCTGATGAAATTGGCTCATGGCACCTTGATGTTAACATTGATGGGGTTGTATCTGCCTTTTTATCATTGTTTCAAACACTTACAGGAAAGAGACCACGTTATAAGGTAAATGAAGCATGAAACGATTGATTATAACAGTAATATTTCCTGAATAGCTAGCACAAGAAGAAACTGCAGGAATGAAATTATTGATCTTTGCAAAATATGTTGCCATGAAATACGGCTACAAGTCTTTGACCAAATCATTCTTTTTACTTTGATCTTTTGGCTTCTGCTTCTTCTTTATAAATTTTATTTTAAGTAGTAGGCTGACTTTGCAATGACAGAACCATGTATGGTGTGTGGGTGGTATGTCAAATAATTGATTTCTGCATCCAAACATAGCTTCAGTCAGACTAGTAAAGTAGCTCTTACTGACGTCTTTTTTTAAGGAATGTTGCTGTTTATACTGATTACAGTTGGGAAGCCTTTAACATATTTTTTGTTGCATTGTATAGCTATAAATAATTACATTCGTTTTGTTTCTGCAGGTAGATGGTGGATCTAATATAGAGAATTTAAGCTTACAAAACATCCAAGCTCGAATCAGAATGGTGCTAGCTTTCATGCTAGCGTCTCTGTTGCCTTGGGTTCACAGCAAACCTGGATTTTATCTTGTTTTGGGAAGCTCCAATGTGGATGAGGGGTTGCGTGGTTACTTAACAAAGGTATCTCCACAATCTCACAATCTAAAGACTTTTAAGTTTGTTAATACTACACTTAAATTCCTCACGTCTGTGATCAATCACATCTTAGTTATCAAAATCTTATTTATTCATACAGTACGATTGCAGCTCAGCAGATATAAACCCCATTGGAAGTATAAGCAAACAGGATCTGCGGACGTTCTTGCGTTGGGCATCCATCCATCTTGGTTATTCATCTTTGAAAGATATTGAAGCAGCTCCGCCCACAGCTGAACTGGAGCCTATACGTTCAAACTACAGTCAGGTAATGTTCTGTTGCACCTCTTGGTCTTGATCTTGAATCTCTTGACCAATTTGAAATTCAAATTTTTCATAACAAAAGTTTGCAGTGCCTTGTTTGGTCAATTATTATCGTGTATGCAAAAAAATAGGGGGAGATTTTATATATATATATATATATATATATATATATATATATAAAGAGCAAAACACTTTACCCGACCTGACATTTTCTGGTAGAGACTTTTGCCCGTTTAATCTAACATTTCTATACTTCTATTATTGATTTCAACAAATGCAAGCACTATAATTAGTGAAGCATTGGCTTGTTTGAGGAATAATTGGACTTAACCGTACTTCTTTCTCTTCATTTGTTTTTATGCATATTTATTGAAAGATAAATGATTGATTGTTCATGTTCACTTGGTCAATATTTGGGAATATGTCATTGTTAACACCTGATTGGTTGTTTAATAGCTTGATGAAGTGGATATGGGAATGACTTACGAGGAACTCTCTGTTTATGGAAGGCTACGGAAAATTTTCCGCTGTGGTCCAGTTTCCATGTTTCAGGTATAATTTGTATTTCTCCTTTTTTGTCTCGCTTTTGATCTGGTATAAGATAATAAGCTGTCAGTTGTTTAGTTTACCACCTAAATAAATGTGATAAGGAACCAAAAATATATGAAACAGGTGATATTTTGAGTTTTCGACCGATTACTGTCCCATTTATTTGAGTAGATGGCAAGCCCAATGTATTTTGGATTTTTTATTTTTTTGGGGCCAACAATGTGTTTTCGATATTTAGACTTCTGGACAATACACTAAGACTGCAGGTAAGTGGTTTCACTTACTAGTCTTTCAGAAGCTCTTCCGAATTGGTTAAGTTACTTCATGGTCAGAAATTTCTTGACCTTGAAATTCTATGAAAGTTTGACATAACCAAAATCTAGGTGCAAACTGCAAAGGCTTGCTTTATTAACTTCTAGTCAGAATTAAAATACTTTTTAATGGTCAAATTTTTTTATTTTAAGGAAAAAATATTGCTCACCTACTTATAGACTCTTACAAGCAGACTAGTTATTTAATCCAAAGTGCAGTTCACTTGATCTGCAATTAAACTCAACAGTGTGTGCACATTCTATCTGTAATACAATTATGCTGACAGACTAAATCTTCAATGCAAGTCGAAGGATATGATTGTTTACCTTAGGATAGACAGCTAGTGACAAGACAATGCAATTTGTGAGTGAAGCATCCCTAAAATCCTACTAGGTAAAGTGAGATTCACACCATTTATCTCAAGTCCCTTGCGATCAATATCTAAATTGTCATAACTTCACTGCTTGCTTGATTTACCCTAATGGATAGTAATAACTGGTGGCTATAAAATTAGAATATCAATAAAGATTGTGGGGTCTAGTGTTGCCCATCTGATGATTCAGCCATAACTTACTGGTTTCTTTAATCTGTTTCAGAATCTATGCTATAGATGGGGTGCCAGACTGACTCCATCACAAGTGGCTGAGAAAGTAAAACACTTTTTCAAGTATTATTCTATAAATCGACACAAAATGACTGTATTGACGCCCTCCTATCATGCTGAGGTATGCTGTTATTATCTATTAACGGGTAAAAAGAATCCAGTTTCCCCTCTTATAATCTGATTGCCCCAAGTTATTTATTTTAACTTTTTGTTGGCTAAGTATGAAGTATATAACGCTACATTTAACTGGCAGAGTTATTCGCCAGAGGATAACAGGTTTGATCTTCGCCAATTTCTGTATAATGCAAGATGGCCATATCAATTTCGCAAAATTGATGAAATTGTTTGTGAGTTGGATGGTGACAAGGTTGCTGTTCAAGAACCCAGAGACCATGAAGCTATGGCAATTGCATCAGATGGTGTGGGTGGGATGGGAGTTATAGCAGCAGGTTCAGGCAATCCCAGTGTTGGGATTTGATCAAATACTTAACCCTCCCGCTCAAATACAAGAGCATTCGGCTACAAATTAGGTGCAGAGATTTTGTCTTTAACGTTTATATGTATAATAATGATATCATTCATTCTTCCATTAAATTGGAAGAACAAAAATCTCTGAGATTGTTTTGGTGGTGGGGAAGCTGGGGTTTGAATAAAGAACGGATCCTACTCTTCTATGTCAATTCTTGTATTTATTTCGTGAATTTAATCCTCAAAAAGGCAATTGTACTCATCAAATCAATTTGATGATATTCTTGGTAATAGATCTATGTGACTTACGTAGACCGTTGTTGGAACTGGGAGTTAGTGATTATTAAGTTTTCTTATACGAATTTGGATCGTTTGGAGTCATTTTCAATTTTTACTCTTTATTTCATCTTTTCAAAACAAGAAATAAACCCTATTGCGGTACAGGTGAGAAATTCTTCTTTAACTTTTCAATGAAAATTTCATTTTCAACTTCGACTTGCCGCTGAGTCTGTAGTATAAAACTGAAATGGCGATTTTTCCCATCCTGCAAATTTTGGTCTAGAAGAACCTTGTTAAGGTGGAAATATTGATATTCATTCTCATGCAGTGGTTGCAATAATTCTTGACAATATTAGGTTATACTACTTTTGGTATTTAATATAAATTCTTGTTTGACTTTTATTTTGGTCTTAAATATAAAACTCCAATCTATTTTGTCTATTATATTTATGTATTTTTTTCAAGACTATCCTTTTAATAATAGTAATTCTAGTCAATATAATTGATTAGTGAGAATATTTTAGGAAAGACAATATCTATTTATTATAAATAATTAATTTAACTTATTTTTTTAATCTTCTCAAATTAGTCAATCAAGTCTTGTAGTTAAGACCAGAGGTGGTAATTTATTAAACTCTAATCTATTTTGTCTATCATATTTATGCATTTTTTTAAGACTATCCTTCTAATAATAGTAATTCTAGTCAATATAATTGATTAGTGAGAATATTTTAAGAAAGACAGTATCTATTTATTATAAATAATTAATTTAACTTGTTTCTTTAATCTTCTCAAATTAATCAATTAAGTCTTATAATTAAGACTAGAGGTAGTAATTTATTAAACTCGATGAGCTCGAAGAGTAATAAAGATGCTAATAGCTAGAGAGGTAAGAGGTTGGCTTGCAATTACCAGGTCATTATCCCATCCTGAGAATTTCAAAATCAACGAGATAATCAAAATTTTATGACAGTAAATATTCTCCCTAAATCAAATACCATTCAAGTAGGCAAACATATAATCTCGCATTCATTTGTAGCTTCATAACATTACAGAATAGGAATTAGAAAGAAAAGCATTATTTGCTGCATGCTTTTGGAGAGACATTTAATTGTTGCCTTAGAGCTTGCTCTTAAATAGGCAGATAAACGCATTAGATTTGTTAGCTCATTGCATGGATGCATAGCCAGATCTTTTAGCACGTCACCTTTGAGATGCATAAATCTTTCCGGGGTACTTGAGAAATCTAATGCATTTATCTAATTCTGCACTTACTTAAGATGCCAGTACCAAGTTCAAAGAACATCAAACTCGGCCACGGAAAAAAAATAGGATATCCTTCGTAACCAGTTTAAAAAGGGATTTTATAATTCTTGAGGCAAATTTACTCTCACGCTACTTCGATCGAAACCCCATTTTGATCAGGAAACAACTCATTACCGAATAGATGGATAGCGAGACACCAAAATCCACTGTGCGGAGAGAGAACAGGCAGGCCGGAGAAACCAGCATTGCCATTGGGAGAAGGACAAAATAGCCCTTAACGTTGCAGTTGGTTTTGTGTGAAAGTAAAAATCACTTAGATACTTAAAATTTCATGCCATCAATCCCCCCTTTTTGGTTTAGCGTGACATGGGATGATAATTTAAAGATGCAAAAGTTGATCATTAGAATATAGTGTGAGCATATTATTTTTCTACCGACCCAAACGTCCATCATTTACCAAACAGAAATCATTGTAAAATATATAATGGGAAAAACTTGTCTCGGGATTATCTATGAATTAATCACTCCGAATGGGGAAAAAATAGCTTAATTATGAAATTAACTAGTACGCGCTTTATACTGGCAGACACTTCAGGTAAAACCAGCGAGAGAGACCGACCATTTTGAAGTACCTTTTGTCATAGAAGTTAAAGAAACCAACAAACCAAAACAAGATACAAGTAATTCTGGGAAGTATCTAGGCCTCCAAAAAGGCAGGGATAGGGGGAAAATTATCCTCAGTTCCCACCATCAGAAAAATAGACTCTTCATCTAAGCTATGTCTCTAGAGAAAATCCACTAAAACATGTCTAGAGCTCATCGTGAGAATCATCCTCATCGCCGGAGGCACCATCAGGGGCTCCACCTGACCTCTGGTAGACTGCGGTGATGATTGGATTGCAAACAGCTTCAACCTCCTTGAGCTTCTCTTCATAGTCTTCTTTCTCTGCGTTCTGGTTGTCGTCCAACCATTCAAGGGCCTCTTTCACCGCCGTCTCAATTTTCTCCTTCTCATCAGCCTCCAACTTGTCGGCCAGCTTGTCTTTGTCATTAATCTGGTTCTTCATGTTATATACGTATGTTTCAATGCTGTTACGAGCATCAATCTTCTCCTTGACCTTCTTGTCTTCCTCTGCGAATTCTTCTGCTTCACGAACCATTCTGTCGATTTCCTCCTGGCTCAGTCGCCCCTTCTCATTTGTGATGGTAATCTTCTCAGATTTTCCAGTGCCCTTATCTTCTGCCTTGACATTCAGGATACCATTTGCATCCACTTCGAATGTCACTTCAATTTGAGGGGTGCCTCTGTTGAAATGTCATAGATAATAATATAAATAAATTTCCAAAATCACTTGAACAAATTTCAAAGCAAGAGCGTAGTGAAAGCAGGAAGCAGACCTTGGAGCAGGCGGGATTCCAGACAAGTCAAACTTCCCAAGCAACCGACAATCCTTTGTGAGGCTCCTCTCACCTTCGAATACCTAATCATGGATATAACATTACAATTAAGTCCAATTCATGGATCTTTCACCCAGTTAAGCATACTAAACTAAGGAGATATATCTGTTCGTGGGAAGGAGAGCAGTTGACTAAGGAAGCAATACCTGAATGGAGACGGTCGTCTGCTGATCCTGGTAGGTGGTAAAAACCTGAGATTTCTTGGTGGGGATCACAGTGTTTCTGGGAATCAACTTTGTCATCACTCCACCAACAGTTTCAATTCCAAGGGTGAGTGGTGCCACATCCAGGAGAAGGATATCTGTGTCAAGCATAAGATGTTATTTTCTTGGTCAGCATTAATTAAATTATGACATTTAGCAGTAATCAAACACTAAGAGAATCAGGAGAAAGGACTAACTTACCTTTGGTTTCCTCACCACCCTCTCCACTCAAGATACTTCCTTGTACTGCAGCACCATAGGCAACTGCCTCATCAGGGTTGACACCCTTGTTGGGCTCCTTTCCATCAAAGTAATCCTTCAAAAGCTGTTGTACCTTTGGAATTCTGGTGCTGCCACCAACAAGAACAATCTCATCGATCTGACGCTTTTCCAAGCCAGCATCTTCCATAGCTTTCTTCACGGGTCCCATGGTCTTTCGGAACAAGTCATTGTTCAACTCCTCAAAACGAGCCCTAGTGAGTGGCTCAGAAAAGTCAACACCATCAAAGAGCGACTCAATTTCCACACGGACTTGGTGCTGGCTGCTAAGAGCTCTCTTTGCACGCTCACTCTCTCTCCTCAACTTTCCAAGAGCTCTGTTGTCCTTGCTAATATCCTTTCCATGCTTCTTCTTGATCAATTTGATGAAATACTCCATTATCCTCTGATCAAAGTCCTCACCTAATAATGGAAAAGGAAGGAGTGTTAAATACAAATAGCAGCGTTGACAACTGAATAAGACGGAATTCCAAAAACAAGACGCATTTATATTTTCATCGTGCGCTTGAGGAAGAGTGCTCACCTCCAAGATGAGTATCTCCATTTGTAGCAAGTACTTCAAAAACACCATTATCAATGGTCAAAATACTGACATCAAATGTACCACCTCCAAGATCAAAGACAAGGATATTCTTCTCGCCACCCTTCTTGTCTAATCCATAGGCAATGGCGGCAGCAGTGGGCTCATTAATAATTCTTGCAACATTCAGTCCAGCAATGACACCAGCATCCTTGGTTGCCTGCCTTTGAGCGTCATTGAAATAAGCTGCACATTTGAAAGGAAAACAAAATGACCAAAATCAGATAAAAATAAGCAGGAAGAGTGCTGAAATGTATGGAAAGAGAAATTGTTGCAACTTGCTCCACTAACCAGGGACAGTGACCACAGCATCCTTAATTTTCTTCCCAAGGAATGCTTCAGCGGTTTCCTTCATTTTACCCAGAATCATAGCGCTAATTTCCTCAGGGCTGAAAACCTTAGTCTCCCCATCCTTGACTTTTACCTGGATGTAGGGCTTTCCATCCTTGTTCACAATCTTATAAGGAACAAGCTTCATATCTCTCTGAACTTCTTTATCTTCAAACCTGTAAAACAGTCTGCATCAGTAACTTTATTCTCTCAGATTAATTATAACGTAGCAACAAGTGGATAACATACTTTCTTCCGATAAGTCTCTTGACATCGAAGATAGTCCTCTCTGGGTTGACAGCTGCTTGATTCTTCGCGGCTTCCCCAATCAATCTTTCACTGTCAGTGAAAGCAACCCATGATGGGGTGATACGGTTACCTTGATCATTGGCTATGATTTCAACATGGCCATTCTTGTAAACACCGACACAGGAATAAGTTGTTCCAAGGTCTATCCCGATAACTGTTCCTAATTTGGTTGCTTCCTCTTTTGCAATGGAAATTGCAAACAAACATCCTGCGGTGCACATTCTTCATGTTAAATACAGCACTTGATAATGAATTTGATTTTAGTCATAATCACGTCATTCACTCCAAAGAAATTTCTGTCGAACAGTCAATTGCTTGAACGTGTAATAAAATTAAATGCAGGAGAGCATGCAGTTATCGAAGTCAGAGAAATGGCATTGCACAAAAAGGTATCAATGAGGATGCATGATAAATGTTCAGCCTCAACTTGAAGAAAGTTGGCTATAAGCATGGAAAACCAGACCATTCAAACATCTTCGACGATACTGATTTGGCTCTCAGAGATTCATTATTGCTTTTTATCGAAATACCAACCACACAGTTAATTATGTGAATTTTGAACATGACTGCAGAAATGAATACAGTTCTAACCATCTATCCTATTAAGCAAAAAGACGTAATCCAAGTCCCTATTAACGATCAAGTTCAATTCATCATCATAGTAATGACTAAACTAAACTATGAGATCTCTAAACTCGAAAAGAACGAGTTAATCTAACACTCCTTCTAGTCGAAATAACAGCAAATCTTGCCATTGAACTAAATGGACATATTTTATGAATGGTAAACAACCAAATACAAGATCTCGTTAAATTTGCAGAGCCATGATGGTAAAGTAAGGTCACCAATCAAGGACTGACAGAAATTCGTACAGACTAAAAAACTATCGTCAATAACGTAAATTAAGTGGACGATCAAGGTCAACAGGAAGCGAGATCTGCCGCATTTTTCAGCATCAAAATGCCAAATGAATAAACCAAAACCAACAACGTAGTATCAGATCTAAACCAGGAAAGGTATTACGTACCAAAGGAAATAATGGCCAGAACGATCAGAGATCCCCGTGCCCACGAGCGAGACATGGTGTCCTCCTCTCTGCGGGAATCACGTTGTGTGTAAGCACTCTGCGATTCAAATGAAGACAGTTGAGGTGTTTTCGATTCTGAGTAGTGGCCTCGGCGCTTCGAGATGCGCTCTTTCGGGCTATAGTTCTAATGCCAAGTTAGAGTAATTCGTTTGGGTCGCTTAGGCTCTTTATAAAGCGGGATTAACGTCTCGAGCCCGACTCTCCCGAACATGAGGCCCTGCGTCAAACATAAAAGCAATGCATTCGGACATGTCACTCGTGCTGACGTGGACCAATCAGAAGTCGTGGTATTGCTGTTTCCGCCAATAATATTTTTTCCGGTGTTGGGAACGTATCTGCCGTTCATCATAGAGATGTGACGTGGCTTCTGGATCTGGTGTGGGGAATATTGCTGTGTGCACGCACCATTGACACCAAATTTGATACAGTTTGCCATATATTTTTTCCCTAAAAAAACACATTTTAAAATATATGTAGAATATTATTTTTCCTTAAAAAATAAAATATTTTAAATCGAGAGGGAAAATAGTTAAAATGTTTTATGACTTATAAGAAAATTAACAATATTCACTTTTTGTTCTTAGTGAGAGGCACTTTGTCTTAAACCATTCTCCATACTATTATCATCTTGACCATTATAAAAAAACATATATATTGAACCTATTGAGATAGGGAATTTTCTTTTTATCTCCCTTTTTTAAAGCCTTTTTCGTCCACGCCAGGTCACGGTGGAGGACTTCTAATATAGTTGTTCAGTGGTAATAAAAGCTAATGGACATAACTTAGAACTCAAGGCAAGGAAGTAGAAACAGCTTCTTCACACTTTCATCAAAAACCCTTAAATTCCATTTTTACCCCCTCTTCCTTTCTTCCTTTCTTACCGTTTCCGCTTTCCAGAAAATATGTTCCAGAATATCAACACGTATAAAAGAGGCCATTTTTTCACCAAAAACAAATAGAGGCCATTTGGGTTTGGTCTCTGATCAACCATCTTCTTCGTCCTGTCTACTTGCTCGAGATGCTTAGCTGGTGAGATTGGAGTGGGCTAGTTTTTATCTTTTATCGCATCTAATTTATCCATAACCTTCTCCGTTGTAAGTATAATCCTCAATATAAAAATTAAATAAATAATTTGATAATATTAAAAAAATTAATTAGGTTAATTATTTATCACACTCTTCAAGTATATTGGAGTGAGAACCCTCCGCAATAAATAGGAATATTTATGGAGAAATAGAAGATAAAGTGAATTAAAATCTTATATTTTAAACTAAATCTAACTTCTAGCTAATTTTTATATGAAGAACCGAAGGTTGAACTGTTAAATTTATTCTACTGCAAAAAGGCTGTGATTTAGTGTTAGCAGTCTCTTTTTGGTAATTTTATTTTTATAAACATAGCTATCCTCCTATTCTCGAGATTAAATAACAATGATATGATAAAGCTAGGGGATAAGAAAAATACGTCAAGTAAATAATAATGACTTAAAGGTGATTAAAACGACAAAACAAGTCATCAGAGTGTTCGTGAAATTAAGCCCAGCGTCGAATCATATCATCTATGCACCAACAACGTTATCCAAGGATGTACCAAAAAAAAAACAAAAACGTTATCCAGGTATGAGCTCAGCTGCAACTGATGCCAAAAAAAGTAACAGGGCCGCTGGCCCCAAAAAAAAAGCAACAGGGCTAATTAAAATAAAAATAACTCTGAATCCAACTGAGCCCAGTAACATAAATAATATTAACAGAATCATACCAACAAGCGTCAATTTGTTGTGAATGTGATCATAATTTATGGATATTCATGACATTCTAAAATTCAAAATTTAATTAATTACAATTTTCATAAATCATCTTATCTTATCTTTCACTTGCATTCGTGGGTCAAACTTATCAGATGCACGAACATTTACATTCATTCGTCAAATACATGAAGGATTTTTTTTACTTTTGTAAACTGTTCATTATAATACTACCTCCCGTCATTAAATAAATATTAATATATTGTCTTTTTAACTAATTCAAAAAAAAAGAGATAGTTAAAATATTTATTTGTAATTATTATGTCGAGAATTTGTGATGGATTTGCAGAAATGCTCCGCCACTTAATGATTGGAATAACTTGAAAATACGTTGTACTCGCTTGAGAAATTTAGTATAGTTTTAGGTAATAAATTTTACAATAAGAGATTTTTCAGTGATTTTTTCTTAATTTTATTGACATAAATGATAAGACGTGGGACCCATCGATTTTAATATAATGTATTGACATAAATGATAAGACGTGCGACCCATTTATCATATTTATCAATTTTCTCTGAACTACCCCTATAGATACTCTTTTAACCATAATTAAGTAGAAGAGAAGGAAGGGGTATTAAGAAAGATGATTATGGTGTTTTAAGAAAAACATGTCACATTTCTTATAATTAACTAACTTACCTAACTTCCTTAATCTAATCAAATTAGTTAAATAGATCTTATATTAAGGACCGGAGGAGTATTAACTAATAACGAAAGAACCATGGGATCCATCAAACTTGCTTCCTGCTCATATTCATGATCCAGCTCATCGGATAACATTACCCATCTTACTGTTTTACATAGGTATTGGGCTATTGGCACTGAAATGATGATCCAGAAATCTATGAATAAATGATGTATTAAAAAAGAAAGAAAGAAAGAAAGAAATCTAGGAATAAAGGGCCGTTCAAATTCTTGTGCAAAACAAATAACATTAAATAAAAGTGAACAAGAAATTCTTCCCGTTCCTCTTCTTTGAAATTTTCTCTTGCCAGCATCAAATCTTCATGTTTTCATTGGTTTTATAACACAATTTATTTAGTATGCAAATTCCTGTATCATCGCGTCCCCGCAAAAAAAATAAATAAATAAATGATGACTGAAAGGTGGGCTTCCAATTCCTGCAGTTTGGTCTTGATATTCCTCTAATTTTTTAAAATTGATTCTATAAATATTTTCTCAACAATAATCAAATATGAGAAGAAAAGAGAAAGGAAACTCAAAAATATAATTATGATGATTTAGGAGGAAAAAGACATATCATATTAACTCATTTAAAATTAATGTTTTGGGTCTTGTGAAGCCCAATGGGGGTACAATAAGAACGTTGTTCTAGGCCTTGCGAAGCAAAGGTGGTCCCTTTGTCTCCGACGGTACTTTGAGCAGGGCTCACTGCTCTCGTGCTCATCATCATCAATCATAGATTTTCCTGAACAAAATGAACTTAATACACCAATGAGGGAATTGAGTCTAATATAAAAAAAAAAATTAATCTCTACAACGTGGTGAACTAAAGTTTAAATTCCCTTCAAAAGTGTTTCAATAAGAGGAAATCTCGGTCTTAAAAAAAAAACTGTTTTTTTGACTAAAACATAAATATCCTTCTATTGAAAGTGATTCTATTCGAAATACTACCAGGTACTAAATGTTGGCATCTGTCTCAATAAGAATTTAAATTTTAATTTGTCACGTTATTAAAAATTAGTCTTCTTGTTTTTTTTTAAAAAATGATATCACATCACCAAATAGATATGGCTAGCAATCTATTTTCGGGTTTGGTATACCTGCTTTCATAAGCCCAATAACCTACAATTTCACCAACGGTTTATATCAATTTTAAGCTGCAAACCAATCACGTCACAATTCCAACAAAACAAAGGAGAGAGAAAACGAAGTAATCCCTCGATATTTAACATCACATCATATTTTTAATATAAAAACTAATTGATTAATTTAGATAGATTAAAAAAATTAATTAAGTCAGTTATTCATGATAAATGGATGTTGTCCTTTTTAAAATACATTTACTAATTATGTGTGTTAACTAGAATTATTATTTAATGAAACTTTGAATATGTATAACTACTATAAGGACTAACATAAAATAAATAAATAAATATAAATAATAGAACTGATCAGAATCTTATATTTAGAACAACTAATTGTCAAACTAACTTTTACATTAATAATTGAAGGTTGTTCCCAACTTCTAGACAGCATAACATGCCTAATTATAAAACAAGTTCAAATGCCAAAAAAACACTTATGTAAAAAGAGCTTTAACCTTAAATACTCTCGAGTCCATCATAATTAGTCTTAGATTTAAAGTGATTTGGGAATATCTTAAATTAAAATAAAAAATATGAATGCAAAATTGATTTTCCCACACCTAATTAAAAAACGACTTAAAATTGAATCTCTCGCAAACAGTTGGGATAAAATCTGAAGGAGCTTCTGTGTTTTGGGTCCTGTGAAGCCCAATAGGGGTCTTAAAATGAACGTGGTTCTTAGCCTTGTGAGGCAAAGGGGATCCTTGTTTCCAACAATAAATTGGACCAGTCAGTAAAAAAATCATCGCTAATCCGTAAGATTCGAATCTCACTGTTAATTTGTAGGCAATTTGTATATCCCTCGGTACATCGCAGCATTTAATACCCAACCTCTGGGTTGATAAGACATGCCTAACCATTAAACAAGTTCAAATGCTAAAAAACGTTCTTGAACTTTAACATTAAATATTCTCGATCCGATAATAATTAATTTCACATTTAAAACGATTTGAGAATATCTTAAATTCACATGAAAATAATGAGTGCAGGATTGATTTTTCAACACCTAATTAGAAAAAAAGGACTAAAATTGAATATCTCGCAAACAGTAAACTTAGATTTTTTTCCCTCGCAAACAGTAAACTTAGATTTTTTCCCCCCACAATTTACACTTTTCCCCATCTTAATCTTTGTGTTTGGATAAGAACTGAAGTGATTTTAGACCATGGATTTTCTCAAAAGCTTATCAATCCAGCTTCTTCCTATACCATAATTATACCTTTTCAAACTGTAGTTTTTAGTTCGTTAATCACTTTATTTTGTTTTGGGTATTTGGATAAAATATTGTTTTTACTTGAAAAAGTGATTTTGAAATGGTTAGGAGATATTTTTGAACTAGCTTTTTAAAAATGATCTTATGAAGATGAATTTTATCTTGACTTATGTAAAAATATTTTTTTTAAGTGTTTCTGAAGCTTTCGAATCCTTCCTTGAGCCAATTTTTAGAATAAGATTTTTAGATTTTTATTGAAGGTAATTTTTAAATATAAAAAATATTTTTGACTTATATTAAAATTTTGAGAGAAAAAAATCAAGTAAATTCAATAAATTAACTTTTTGGGGCAGAGGATCAATGAACCTGTAGTCTTAACCATTTCAAATCACATGATTCGACGAAGCAGGGAGTAGAGAGAGGATCCCGGTGGGGAGCTTGTCCAATCTTGGCGGTCGGAACAACGAACTCATCCGCTTGAAAGAAATGGAAACAAATTAAATAACGGTTTCTGGTATACACTATACAATCTTCCCTCTTCTTCGCAGTTGAGGGGCACAGAGTAGTGTGAAAATTGTGAATGCTGTAATCTTCCACACCTGCCGCACTCTGCTCCCTCTGTAACTTCTCTATCACTTCAAACGCACACTTTTCTTTTTCTTCATATTTGCAGACTCCGTTTGAAACCCTAGCTTCCAATGGCGATTGCTTCTCACTCGACTCCGAGCTTTTCACCTTCTTTCTGCTCCACTCGGACCCAAATCACTCGCTTCTCGCGCTTTCCCTCCGTCACCTTGTCTCAGTCTCGTTCAAATCAAACTCGCTCTTTAACTCGTCGACTTATATCGTCTCGGCTCAATTCGTCTAAATTCTCCGATGCTGATGGCTTTGTCTCGCCTGGCAATGGAGATTCCCCCTACGAACTCCAACACGATTTTTCGCCTCAGCGTCAGAGGAGAGGATCGCCGGTGTATGTCACGCTTCCGTTAGATGCCGTGGGCCCAGAGGGACGAGTCTTGAGGCCGAAAACTATGACTGTCTCGTTCAGGGCGCTCGCATCCGCTGGAGTGGAAGGCGTGGTTTTGGAGATTTGGTGGGGTTTAGTTGAGAGGAATGAGCCTATGGTTTATAATTGGAACGGCTATTGGCAGCTCGTCAAGCTGGCTGGGACGTGCGGCCTGAAGGTTCGAGTTGTTCTTGCGTTTCATCAGTGTGGCACGGATCCTGCTGATCGTAATTGGTATGTGTTCATTGACTTGATTCTATTGATAAGGTTGGGGTGTCTCGTCATTCAGAATATTTTAATTTTAGAATATAAATGATGCTTCTGGAATGTTTCTCTGGAGATTTAGAATATAAATAATAATGTGGTGGAATTACAACTGTATCGTCATTGTAGTGAATAGTTTGCATTTGATAGCGAGGAATCAAAGATTTTGGGATAGCTTTGGTTACAAAATGGATTATATTTTAATTTTTACTGTAATTCCCTAGCTCGTGCTGCCGGGAGAGATGGTTACTTTATTGTCTGAGTATGTTTGGAAACAGGGAAGCAAAGTATGACCTGTGAAGTCTTTCAGTTTCTCCTGCATCTGGTTTGCAGGTTGTATGAGCAATTTGTTGCTGTTAAATTTATCGGTTTATCGCCCTCCCTGGGGAGCAGCTTCAATTCTCATCATTGGACCTCTGCTTTGATCAATTTTCATACTTAATAGGCTCCTTTTTCAGCTGGAAGAAAAGGAAAACAACAAAGGGAGAATAAAATTAAGTATTACCAGTTCACATTTTACATTTCCCCTTGTTTGACCATTTTTATAATTTTCTTAGAAATGATACATTTGGTGGCTGTTCACCGGTCACACTGACTGGATCTTGCGAATCTTTAGATTTTAATGTTTGATTGACATTATAGTTAAATTAGCATTTAATAGTGGGTAGGAAGACAATAACTGTAACCCAAGGCTTTTTAATTGATGTTGTATGACTGCTGTCACTGGGTTAGTTGTGATATAGAAGTGGACTGTTTTAAGGTTTACTCTTCATGGCAACTTCTTTCAATTATTTTCTTGTTTCCAATTCACGAACCTTATACTCCGGAAGTTTTTTCCCTGTGCAGGATACCTCTTCCTCTGTGGGTGATTGATGAGATAAAAAAAGATCCAGGATTAGTATATTCAGATAGGTTTGGGACAATAAGTACTGAATACATTTCACTTGGATGTGACACACTTCCTGTGCTCTGTGGACGATCTCCAATTCAGGCATATGCTGATTTTATGAGGAACTTCAGGGACGCCTTCAGGCCTTACTTTGGTATTATCATAACAGTAAGCTTCTACCAAAACACTCTGGGATGTTAATCTGACAAAGATTCAGGTTCCCTCCTATTAGGGACAGATGCTTATCGTAGTTTGTTCATTGTGTAGGGAATACAGATTGGTATGGGTCCTGGTGGTGAATTAAGATATCCTCTCTCTCCTTCCCAGTTAATCCATGCTAGGCATACAGAATTTGGAGAATTTCAGTGCTATGATAAGGTGGGTCAGAAATTATGCTTCTGCAGTTCTGCTGTAAACTTTTCAGGTTCTAGTTAACACATTTATGTGTTTTGGGTAAATTTGGCATGACCGATTCACATTCCTCATCTTTTTTAGGTTCCTCTTTTTCTTTTTTCTTTTTTTTTTTGCTTCTTCCTTTTCCTTTTTGGGCGTCCATGAATCGCATTTTTTCAACTGACAGTCATCCTTTTTTCTTGGCTACCTGTCAGTATATGATTGCATCACTAAATGCTTGTGCAAGAGATATTGGTATGCATGCATGGGGACAAGGTGCTCCGCATGGCACTGGAAGTTTCAGGCACAATTTGTTTACTACTAGTGAGTATAGCCCCTGGAACACGCCACAGGGTAAGTTTTTTCTTGAGTGGTACTCGGGGATGCTGCTACTGCATGGAGAAAGAATCTGTAGGGAGGCTGAAACTATATTTAGGGGTACAGAAGTCAGCATGTCAGCAAAAGTGGCTGCTATTCACTGGCACTATCTGACTGATTCCCATCCATCGGAGTTAACCGCAGGATATTACAATACTTCTGAGAGGGACGGGTACTTACCCATTGCTCTTATGTTTAGTAAGTATGGATTTGGTATATGCTGCTCATGCTTTGAAATGCAAGATGCAGTAGAAAATAAGAGAAACCCAGTTGGCAGCCCGGAAGGTTTTCTTAGACAGCTGGTGTTGGCTGCTAGGCTCTGTGACATACAACTGGAAGGTCAAAATTTTTCGTCCAATTTCAATGATATGGCATTCGAGCAGGTGCTGAAGATGTCAAAGTTATACACACAAGGGGTGGAAAAGCGTCCCTTCTCTTTCAACTTTGTGAGAATGGGCGGGAAAATGTTTGAATCTCGTTTTTGGGACCGATTCACTCGTTTTGTGAGGCAAATGTCAGATGGGAAAATTTTACGAGCCAGACTAAATTCTGTTGGTGACGTGCGTCTTAAGTCCTTGACTAGGGCTGCAGAAGTTGGACTGTATTACTAGCACTGCTAATCCAGGTTCCGCCTGCTGATATCAAGGATGCATATAATCTGATGAGTTCGGATATAGTGTCGTAAAATGTGTACTGTTTAGTAAATGCCTATTCTTCACATGGTTCCTCAATTGCTTTTGCCGCAAATAGTTGCTTTTACAAAGTACCAATTTACGTTGCCTTCCTGATTTTGTAAATGGGGGGCATATTATTCATCAGCTTGTTCCCGCATTGCAAATAATTGAGATAGAATATTGGAAAAAATCTGTGTAATCCGTATCCCATACATAAAAGCATAACCTCCCAGCTTCTTTCTTCCCAACAGGTTTGACCAGTCTTAAAGATTCGAGGGTCAGAATTGCAACTATCGTCTTCTTTTTGCTCCTTGTTGAACTGTATCCAGGTTAGCATATTCGCTCATCTTTGTGCACATGCGAAAATAAGCTAAACGGCATGATAAAGTCAGCTAAAGCAGATTCTTCTACCCATTTGGTCGATCGTTTGCGGATCTATGGGGATCTCGTAAGTCGTAACCCAATCGAGTGAGGTAAAGTAATTGAATGGTTGTTTCTCGTAGTCGTATGTACGTATCAAATTACATAATTATTGGATGCAATGATGCATTATTCTATGGTGATTTATAGTACTGTTTATAGGAAGTATGTTGACATTTATGTGGCAGTTTTTTTTGGGAGAATGATACCTTCCAAATTCCAAAATTTATATTAAATGACTGTTAGATTCTCAAAAAATTGTGAAAAAAGAAGAAGAAAAAAGTTAAGTCAAAGTGTCAAACAGTTGTAAATACAAGTAACAATTGCAAATAAAAAATTAATGACAGATTTGTGCAACGAGATGCCCCCTGGACTTCATTTTGCTCCGCTGGCTGATTCCCAGCTTTTTTACTTCTTGCAATGCAGGACAGACTTTTATTGCTTTCCGCTCTACCGGGAAAAGAATAAAGAAAAAGTGTCATAATTTGCAATGGTTGTATCAATGTTTTTACGAATTCCACTTGTCATTAAATGATTAAATTTAAGTTTTGGGAGGTAGTTATCATTCGTTCTATTTTTTTTTTTTGTTAATAAGCTATGTGACAACATATGATCCAATAAAATTATGAAAACTTTGCATTGATTGCATCATTAAATTAAGTGAGTGAACGGATAAAATCGTAGAAATCTAGTAGAACAGGGGGAAAAGCCAGTATAAAAGCAAGTTATTCATTGCAGAAGGGACATTACAGATAGGCAATGATATGACAAAAGGGGTTAATCGATTTAATTAGTTGTAATGAATGCTTAAGAATGGCAAAGTTAGGAAGTCACCTTCATGGTAAGTGCAGTGGGTTCCAAGATGTGACCAGCTCCATCCAAGTATTTTCAATCATTAATCTTTAATATCTGTAACTTTATTTGTTCCTCTGGTTATACCTTAAAAAACGAAGTTTTAAAAAGTTAACAATCCCTGCATGACTGATCTAAACTAGATGATTCATACATCACATGAAATCTTGTAATTAAACCGTTGTAATCGCAACCCATTAATGTCCACTGTGTGAGGGTATAACTGAACTTGACCCTCTTCTTGATATCAGATAACAGAAGATTTCCTGAAGACAATCGTGCTTGACAAATAATGCGGGATTATCAAATACCAAACTCAGTTCTAAAAGCCTCCTATAACTTGAATAAAAGGTTTGAAATAATATATATACACACTACCTCCGATTTTCAATATAAGAGCTAGTTGACAAATTTGATTATATTAAAAAAATTAATAAAGTTAGTTATTTGTAATAGATAGACATTGTTTACTAGAATATTTTTGTTAATCATATATATTAATTATAACTATCATTTGAAACATTTAACATATGCAACTATAATGGCTAACTTAAAAATAAATAAATACAAAAAATAGAACTAAATTGAATATCAAACTAACTCTTATATTAAGGAGTAGATGTCGTATATAATAGGGAGGAGGAGAATAACAGGGAGCATGATGGATGGAATAGGGATATTTTTTTCCCTTGACATGTCAAACAAAACGAGATTTTTTTTAAAAAAAAAATTAAGATTCTCTACTCCTTCTATTTATTTTTTATCAATATTTTACGAACAAATCATGTTAATGATTGCTTAACCTGTAGGAGAGAAAATGCAGCTGTCTAACTCGTTAAAAACGGGCAACTAGCAACCACCACACGAGTACGTACGCTAATTAAGCTCTCATATGTACTAATATAAATCTCAACGTGCAATTTAATACGAATTAAATATTTGACTTCCAGCGTGCAATTATTATTATCATGGCAAAAATTAAGCTACGAGTCTACCACCTATCTGTTCAATTGCAAAAGCGATGATAAATACAATTGGATTTCAGAACACTGACCCCATCATCTCACTTTAGCTTTATGATCTCTAATTACAATCGATCTTGGCCTTTTTTTTTCAAGAGTAAATCATTTCCCAACCCAAACATGTCTGTTTCTTCTATGCAGAGAGAGAAAATAATATTAAGTACTTCCAAAGGCTCTAATCTTAAATATAAAATGAAATTTATAGTACAATTCGCACTAGATTTTACATTTAGGATTCAAAACAGTATCATAATTTCAAATCTGTAATGCATGGGTAGATTGGGATGGTGAAGTTAAGGGGGGAAATAAAACTTCTAATTAAGAAATGTGGGAGTGTGTGTCTCTAATTAACAAATGCAACTAAATGAGGAATGATATGATAATTAGTTGAACAATAATTGATGTTGGTCTGCCTTTTACTTTACTATTCATTTGTGTGTTGGAGGGATGAATGGCCCCCCTTGTCAATGACGTATTTACGTCTGCCCTCTCTCCAATCTACCCAACCAAACTCACAAGCCAAGAATATCCAATCGGTACACCTCTTTTCAATCAATTAATTTTTTTTTTTAAAAGAAACTTCACATGATATCGGACGATCGCTCCTTCTCAGCCAATTTTAATTTGTTTATAAACAAATTTAAAATGGCATAAAATATGATTTTCATCTTTATTTTATCTTATTTTTAATTCATATTTTATGAATTAATTAACGATTAATTAGGAAGTCAAAACTGTTCGTCACAGAATTAAAAATTTATCAAAAGCGTACCATTAAGGTTTCTATGAACAGAAAAGCTTCTGAGAGTTATCTGATGGTATTTGAATTTGACCTTTTAATATTGTATATCAAATAATTATGAGAAATATAATTGATATTGATATAAAATATGAATAACCAAAATTAACCTAATTATCAAAACTAAAATATTTAAGGGAGATATTTTCCAAGACCCATGGAGAAGGGGGAAAACGTATGAAATGGTTGTTTTTTTTTTTTTTTGACCGGCGTATGAAATGGTTGTTGATTTTTGGCTTTTTGCCGTTCACGACTGTGTGATCCCCATTCCCCTCGCCGACGGAAGGATACCGAAGGGAGAGTGGTGGAATTACCAAAACGACCCGGCACAGTACAATTAATGACATGTTCAGGTGAAAGTGAAGCCGTGAAACCTCCATCATACTTTGATAGCAGAGACATCTGATCTGCAAAACCCAAACCTCACAAATTTGGTTGAGAATGGTGCAATGTTCTAATCCATACTTTTATTAACCTCAGACTCATAATCCTCACCTATTTGTTTATTTATTTATATTTATTCCTCCCTGTCCTATATTTAAATTTAATTGAATTAAAGAGTTTCATTTGTCTGCCTGCTCAGCTTTTTTATAGATTTCAGTTCACTGAAACTCACAGTCTTCCGTGCCTCTGATCTGATCCCATTTTCGGTTTTCGACTTCTTCTTCCTCGATCACGGCCGCCATGCCTGGTTTAGTATCCGTCAAAACGCCGCAGGACGCTGCTCCGCTTCGAATCTCAGTGCCGGAAGCTCAGACCCCTCAGAGATCTGACTCCTCTAACGTTAAAACTCCGTCGCCTCTTCCTAAGAAGCCGCCTTCTCCTTCACCTTCCCGGGTCAAACCCTCGCCGGATCGCAAGAAGAAGCTCCCTGATTCCCCTAACCCAGCTCTTTCTGAGGCTTCCCTTGACAACCCCGATCTTGGTCCCTTCCTTCTCAAGCTCGCTCGAGATACCATCGCCTCCGGCGAAGGTCCTGCCAAGGCTCTTGACTATGCAATTCGGGCCTCCAAATCTTTCGAGCGATGTGCTGTCGAAGGGGAGCCCAGTTTGGACCTCGCCATGAGTTTGCATGTCCTGGCAGCTATATACTGTAGCTTAGGCAGGTTCGAGGAGGCTGTGCCAGTGCTCGAGCGGGCGATCCAGGTTCCCGATGTCTCCAGGGGTGCGGATCACGCTCTTGCTGCTTTCTCTGGTTATATGCAACTGGGGGATACCTTCTCTATGCTTGGGCAAGTCGACAAGTCGATCTCATCCTATGACGAAGGCCTGAAAATTCAGATCGAAGCATTGGGTGAGACGGATCCAAGAGTCGGAGAAACTTGCAGGTATGTGAGTTTTCGCGCCTCATATTAAATCTCCCATTTGACGCGCTTCCCGTGAAATTTGCTTAACATCTTTGTATGATAATTATACGTGCGAGCAATTATGAAATTGAATTTCATAGCTGTAAATTTATGTGGATTACCAAAACCCTTTTGATGTCTTAAACTGTGTTTTATTGTCACCTGAAAAACTCAACTATTTGACTTCCCCTGTCTGTATTTGACTATTTGTCCGCTTGTTACCGAGCATTCTTCGTAAGTATTTATAACGAAAAGTCACCAGAGGATATATCAACTATGTTGAAATTAATCTCGAATAGTTGCATCATCTGGGAGATGTCTGTCCCCGCAATCCACTATTGTGTGTTTCTTCAGGTCTGCTTTTGGTCTAAAGACTGGATGTGCAAGGAATGTAGTAAATTGATATATTCTAGACACATATATCTGCCATTCCTATCATTAACTTTGTTCGGTGTTTTTGACCCGCACTTGGGGATAAATGTTGCTGTAAGATGCCTGTTCAGTTGTAATATGAAGCTCGAATTTTTAAATGACTTTCCTTAGTTTATTAAAATTGTGTTTTATATGCCAGATACTTAGCTGAGGCCAACGTTCAAGCAATGCAGTTTGATAAAGCAGAGGAACTGTGCAAAAAAACTCTTGAGATTCATCGAGCACATAGTGAACCAGCATCTCTTGAAGAGGCAGCAGATAGAAGGCTTATAGCACTTGTATGCGAGGCAAAGGGAGATTATGAGTCAGCTCTTGAGCACCTTGTCCTTGCCAGCATGGCAATGATTGCAAATGGACAAGACAATGAAGTTGCTTCTATTGATGTCAGTATTGGAAACATCTATATGTCTCTTTGTCGCTTT